CAGCATGTGCATATGAATTTGTCTTTACTGTTTCCATAAATACGTGCATGGGCATCCATTACATATATTTTGTCAGTTAGACTTTAAAGAACGCTGTGCCACATAATTTCAAACTATGTCATTTAGTATAAGCAATATTTAGTTTTTATTGCATGATTACAGTGAGATTGTGTTCATAAATATATACTATACAAGTATTTTTTCACCATAGAATTTACAATTCCTCAATATCTATAGATAATAACAGTTATTCATAATATTTATAAATTAAAAACTTTGCAATCATTTTAACTAGTCCCATTAAATAAATGAGTCAATGTGAACGCTAAGTACTCGACGCTTTTCCACTGAGTACGACTTGAGTTTGATTGAAGATGATATTGTTTTATACAACATAACAAAACAACTCTTATATATTTATTATCCAAATCACGATGAGCAGCCTCTATTTTAGAAGCCAGCTTTCTGTTTCATAAAGCCAGGAGACATAGCATGAAAGGAAATAAATTTGATATATTATTCATCACCGCTATTTTAATTTTTAATTATAATAAATCGAACAAATATAGAACATTATCATATTAATTTAATTTATACACATTTCAAAATCTGATCACTTATATAAAAAATGAGAAAGCCTTTTATAATATCTTTAAGACAAGATCATCCCATAAAAATCCATGATGTTTAATATAATTTAAGTTTGTAATTTTAAATTTTTTACATTTTTTTTAAACGAGCCCTGCCCGCAAAGTAACTAATCAAGTTAGGCCTGCTTTAGCTCAACAAACTTGACTTCAACCCTTAACCATTCGAGCCTGAGCACTTAAGAGTCAGCTTGGAAGCCTCGCTTACAACCCTAGTCTCAATACTAACGAGTCAGCTGGAAGCCTCGCTTTACAAACCCTACCTAGTCCTCATACTAATATGAATTAGAGCTCCTAATCCAATTTTCTTTGAACTATTTAGGCTTAACCCGAGCCCAATCAAGAGCAATCCACATTAGCTTTAGCATGTATAAAAAATATTCATTTGCAATGATTTTAAATTGAAATTATTAAATACATCAAAATCTTAAAAAAAATTATGAACTATTGGTAATCTTAATGTTCTCTGAAACACCAGGTTTAATACAACAAGGTTCTTAACTAACTACTTAGCTTGTTTTCTTCAGGAAATCGTTACATGGCAGGACAAGCCCACTATCTACATACATACAACATAAAGGCAATACGGTTCTTCCACTGCTCATAAGTTTATATTTTAAGCTTAGATTTTGTAGTATAAAATGTACCTTTTCCAAAGTTTTGAGTCTTGTTAGGCTCTTAGCAGTTTGTATCATAGGATGCAAGACCAAGTAGCTCTGGCCCTTCCAAACGAGGATTGTTCTCAAAACTATACAAGCGAGATAAGGAGTTCAGATTAGTAATAAAATTCAACCACAAAATCATGTGGATTATGAAACAAAGTTCTAAGACTTTGTTTAAGATGACTTTCTTCATGTTTCTTAAAGCAATTTTTTTAGTATAAAGCTTTTCTAATTTAAAATTTTTTGTACTAGAAAACAGCTTTAGAAAGCAATAAAAAAACTATCACAAATGAAGCCTGAGGCTTCGTTTGGGACGACTTTCTTACTGCTTCTTAAAGCAGCTTCCATTTCAAAAATTCTAAAAAACTGCTTTAAGAAGCAGTAGAAAAAACCATCCAAAATGAAATCTAAGTGTGAAGTATACGAGTATGGCTTCGTTTGGGGTGAGTTTTTTACTGCTTCTTAAGTATAAAGCTGCTTTAAGAAGCTTAAGCAATAAAAAAGCCGTCCCAAACAAAGCCTATATAGCCACACACTACATTTTTTAGAGCACACAATCATGCTCATGTGTGCTCGTTGCGTCTTAAAAAAAAAAGAGAGAATGTGCACTCAATGCATAGCTATGTTACTCGTGCATTTCACACATAAAATTACAGATACAATTCGCATTTATAATTTCTTGAGCAAAAGTGCATTATTTGAGGACAGTAAAAGGAAAGAAGGAAAAAAAATTACTTGTTTAACGGGATGTGTTCGAATGAACCAGTAGTGGGAATGGTGCCACAAAGATTATTGTTGGAGACATCTCTGAGAACATAAACTTGGTTTTAGAAAATCAAAATGACTATGAAGATATTATGAAAACTGTAAAAAAAACTTACACAACTTTGAGGCCAGAAACTTCAGCCAGCTCCCTTGGGATTCTCCCACTAAGCTTGTTGTTATTAAGCCGCCTAAAATTATAAATATTAAAGATTTGGTTTACAGAAGAGTAGAACTAGATTGCCAAGTGCACAAAATGTACAGAACTAGAAATATCGAACAGATTTATATGAAGCAAATTATGCTTACAAGAATACTAGAGACTTGATTTTGCCCAAGGCTGGAGGAATAGACCCTGATATGTTGTTGTTGTACAAGTCCAAGCTTATCAAATTCTTTAAGTTGCCAAGTTCTGCAGGGATGGTTCCTTGAATATCATTTTTGTACAATTCTCTGGAAAGAAGTCCATGAAAGAATAAGATTCCATAGCAAGTATAGGTTTCTAGTAGTAATTTGGGACCAAAATAATTTAAAAATATATGTCAAAGTAGAAAATCATCAATGAAATAACACCACCAACAAAGAACAACAATTCAAAGAGACATGTGGCCGCTTTTGTACATCATTACAAGCTGGATTATTGAAAGACGAAGGCTTTGTTTGGGACGGCTTATTTACTGCTTTTTAAAGCAGTTTTTTTAGTTAAAAAATTTTAACTAAAAAGTTGTTTTAAGAAGCAGTAAGAAATTCATCCCAAACAAAGCCTAATATGTATGAACTAAGACAGTGTAATGCACCTGAATTTCCTAAATTTCAGGTAAACAAATGTACAGAAAACTAAAATCTTTAATGAATAAACGTATGCCAGCTGTAGACTTCGCGATATCAACTGAAATCAGTTTCATACACAGAAAATAGAAGATCCATAGAATCACCTAAGAAATCATGGCAGGCGCCAACTCAAATTCGTCAATTCGAAGACAACCAAATTTCATTAGTTCCAAGAGAAGATGTTATATTCGAGTAGGAAATTAATAAAATTCACCTGAAAATAACAAATAAGAGTTCCTCTGTTGAAAATATTAGTTTCCTAAATCATTAAGAAAAGTTTCTCAAATTAATTTCCTTAACATATCATGAGCAGTCCGTGATGGCGCTCACAAAGAAACCAGATGGAAAGTGGGAACAACATTATTTGAACTCAGGTAAGGGCTTGCTTTCAATTTTGAACATTATGGGCCAAAGGAATGGTTATTTTTTCATTATATGACGTCACAAATTTGATATAATAAGGTATTTGAATTCTTTCAATTTTGTGAGTCATGTTTTGTTTAATGGAACGATTACCATTTACATTAGTGTCCATAAGATTTCCTTCATGTTACAGTTAGTTTTTAAGACAAATCAACTAATGCTGAAAAAGAAATGTATGCCCATATCATTATCTGTAAACTGAAGGCACAATTTTCAACTAATGCTGAAAAAGAAATGTAAGCCCATGTCACAATTTTCCAACTTTCAACTCAGGGAAAAGCAAACAGAATTTAGCGGTAGGCACATTCTTTAGGTAGAAATATTCATATTACTACAATACTTACAAATACTGCAAATGTTCCAGTTTTCCAAGATCAGGCACAAGTTGACCAACCAAGTTTGAATTGCCTAGGTCTCTGCAACATCAAATAAACATAGCTAAATGTTTAGAAATTCTGAACCATAAGGTGATAGAATATAAAAACGTCATCTTAGCAAATATAAAATTGTAAAATATATACACTAAATGAAGTATGCAAAGTATCTGATGATGATCCTGCACTAGAAAGAGAGTAAACAAGTATTAATCCTTCCAGTGGCAAGTAGAACTCACCAAACAAAAAACTTAAAAACCAAGGGCTTAGAACAAGAGAATATAAATCAATAGATACAAATGTGTTAAGTCTGCTGAAAAGCACCTTTCAAACTTAATGTTATGAGGAAATTTGTAGGTTTAGACACAATGGAAATGCAAGATGTGACCGTTGAGGTGAGATTGCTATCATTATGAGCTTTAGGGTTGCTTTAGTTATTTTATTTTTAATTTCATGTTTCCTGGTTCACTTCGTTGTAAAATTTCAGAATTGATGATATTTACTGTTTAGAGTGAATTTTATGTTGCTAGCATATGGAATATATATGAGAAAAATTAATATTAAAAAGAATAATAGTAGAAGAATATTTGATTATGAAGATATGCATTTATATCCCAATAATTGTGAATGTCCTCCTTATTTGTTTTTTTTTTTTATTTTTTACATTCATCTTGCATGAACATATATATAAGCTCTTATATTTAGTTAATAATTTACAACAAAAAACCTATTTCCTCAACAACAACAACACAACAACAACATCAAGCCTTTAT